ATCATTTGTTAATACTCTAATTTCACATTTTGTTATATAAATATCAACTATGTTAGCACTATTTTTGGTTTAACTTTCATGTGATGAAAAGATATGAACGGAAATTATTCTGTTGGGAGAAGTGCTGGCAACACAGTCTCTATCTAACAGATTTTCTCCTCTTAGGAGTTTCATGTGAATGTGACTAATCTAGGAATGGAAACCACCAAACTGGTGTGGGATCCACATGAATTTCACCACCCAATAAAAAATTGTCAGAAAGAGTGTTAAAAAATGTATTGCCAGCATTTGTCGGTTGCTTGTTTGTTACTTTTTCTCAGGTGGATTTATTGGCATACTTTATGTGTTACATTTCTTTCTTTGCAACAAATCTTTATTTAAACAAAATAAAGAGAGTTCTGACACTGTGTAAATAAAAATGCTTTGTCGAAAAATTTATTTAAGTTCCTTTACGTTCAAGATGTCCTGGACATCTGTTAACACTGAAGGAAAGAAAAAGTATTACGGACAGTCTACAGGTTTTTAGCTATAGGGAACATTAGTTAAGCAACGGGTTTCTTTTAGGTTTAACAACCATGGACCTTTTTCTGAGATGTACTAGAGCTTATTTTACTTTCCCTCTGTATTTGTTCTTTAATCTGGCATAACTGTTTACAGCCATTTGTTTTAATGTTTAAATTTTTAGGGATTATTATTTTTTAAAGTTGTTTGTTTAATAAATTTGCTAATGTTAACGTGCATGATGAAGAATACCTTGTTTTTATGTTTAAAATGGAGATGATTTCATTTCTGTTATTCTGTTTTATTCTGATAATTTTGCTTTCTTTCAGAGAAACTTTGTTGAAAGTATGGCAGGATATTCCCTGGTGTGCTACTTTCTGCAGGTTTGAAAGTTCTTAGTAACTGATGCTGAGTGACAATTTGAATGATAACACTATACTGTTGATTGTTATTGGATTTTTTTCTTCTTATTTCTCTTTTTTATTTCTTGTCATCCAGGTGAAGGATAGACATAATGGGAACCTCCTATTGGATGAAGAAGGTCATATCATACATATTGATTTTGGCTTCATGCTCTCCAATTCACCTGGTGGTGTTAACTTTGAAAGTGCACCTTTCAAACTAACTCGGGAACTTCTTGAGGTAAAACTGAGTTTGTTTACTTTCTATTATACTCCCCGTATTCAAATGTCCATTTGATTATATATTATATTTCTCTCTACAATGATCACAAGTTCACAACAATTGATTGTGCTAGGTTATGGATTCTGATGCTGAGGGTGTTCCAAGTGAATTCTTTGATTACTTTAAGGTGCTGACGAAAACTCCTTCTGATTTTTATTTGAGAGATTGTAGATGACATGCTATTGTTAGCTCTAATTTTTTATATGTTGCTTTGTCCTTTACATTTTAGGTTTTATGCATTCAAGGCTTCCTTACTTGCCGCAAGCATGCGGAGCGCATCATTCTTCTTGTTGAGATGTTGCAGGTAACATGAATGTTAGCTCCTCCTGTGGTTCAATGGTCATATAATTTATAGTCTGCCTGTTCTGTTTGGTTGTGATTGTACTTCCAGCTTCCCCGAACAAGACAATAGGTTACTTAGATAATGCTTTCTCAAACAACCGCACAACTGTGCTGACTGAAAATATCTCACTATATGATGGCAACCTGTGGTCTTGTTAGAAAGAATAAGGGTTCTCCCTCAAATACCGTGTCTAATTTGCAGAACTTCAACAGTCTGAGCTCTAATGCCCAAAGGCTCCAATTCTCTCCCAGATGAGAAGATACTCCTCTCTTTCCACCTCTGTTATTTATAGGCAATCGATCTTCATTATTTTTATCTCAGCCTATCAAACAAATAGGTACCACCAATTAACTAACAAGCTAACTCTCTAATCGCTGACAGATGACCTTTTAAATACTGCAGTCCTTCTTGTTGTGTAGGCTTGTAGCTTATGGTGTTTTTGGACAAGTTAATACTCACATCCTATGCAAAAGAGCAATTGGCTAACATGATTTCTGCTATGAATTTTGTTAATTACAGTTAAGTTAGGTAAAACCTGGAGTATAGTGAGAGACCACTGGGACAATGAAATGCTCAAGGATCTCTTCATACTCACTGGACGACTTTAATATGCAAAATTGAAACAATGAATAAAATTCATTTCTGTGGGAATAAGAAGAGTCAAAAGAAATATTCATTTCTGCCACATTTTGTTGTCATTTGGTATGGAGTTGGTGGATGACCGGTATCTACCATACTGTTGGGCTACTGAAATACAGTAGTTGTTATAGGCAATGGGCAGGGGATGGAAAATGAGAAAGACTGTTCTTGAACATGGCTTTGGAATTAAGGTTGTATGTCTTGATAATGCTGTTCCAAATTGAACTAAGGCAGGAACAAACCTCCTTTCTTGCTATACTTTACATAAAAGAGTGGTTACATTTTTTTCTTTCTCAATGATGTTTGATCGTAAACTTTTAGACTGGTTCATCTAGGAAGATGACCTCATGATTCTCTTATATCAAGTGATAAGATTTGTCTTTGTTCTCAACTAGACATGTAGTACTAAGTGCCTCTTACCTCACTTTTTTCTGTTTTTGCCTCTGTGGATCAAGAAATACTCTCCTGACTTCTATTCGTGTTGGATTTCCTCTGAATCTCTCTTATTTTTGTTAATGTTGGAATCAGGATTCTGGTTTCCCATGTTTTAAAGGTGGTGCCCGGACAATACAGAACCTACGAAAGCGATTCCATCTCGGTTTAACTGAAGAGGTTTCAATATTAGTAATGATACCTACTCAAATGTAAAATGTTTTTGGGTGTGATTATTAAGAGGGTTATTATCTTTTTGGCAGCAATGTGTCTCCTTGGTGCTGTCACTCATCAGCAGCAGCCTGGATGCTTGGAGGACCCGGCAGTATGATTATTATCAGAGGGTTTTGAATGGAATATTATGAGATACTTTGTGATGGTGATCACTTACTTTCCTCTTACGCCAACCCTTGTAATTAATTAGCTAAAGAGGAAGGTTGGTTCACTGTAAAATGGCTTTAAAGTTTTCAACAGAGGGAAGAATTAATAGCTGGGAACCCGAAGCCTCTTTTCCCCCACGAAGATCCTAACTCGTCAAAAACATAGTGTACCAGGCTATATTTACTGGAGCTGGGTCTTTTTTATTTCATTTCCTTCGTATCATATGAAGCTCTGCTGCTTGGAGAAGTTGCATTAGCCTCCTAAATGCAGAGGGACAGTGCAGAGTGTACAGTGATTTGAGCGGTACAGACCACATTTAAAATGAGTGTTGAAATGGTTGTTGGGTAAACTGAAAGTGTGTTAAAAGTGTTAAACGGATACTGACCTAATATAATTTGAATGACCTTGTGGAGGAAATGATGGACAGGCCTCAGTGTATGTGTATGCGATCTGCGCTGTAATTTTTCCTGATCTCCTTCTCAGATGTTCAATGGAGTCTGTCTTCTCAGAGTTGATTCTCACGTGACCATTAAAAATTGTGATCCAGATTCTTTAAAGATGATTGATTGTATTATGTCCTTTGGTGAAATTTGTCTCACCTTCATATCAATCCTATAAAAGTTTGGTGGCATTGTATCTAGATCTGTACAGGTACGCACCCAAAACAAGGGGACTTTTGAATATCTTATTACAAATTTAATTTCAGCAAGTGGTCTTAATTGGAAAATAATTATTATCATAATTATTCTGCTTATCAACATATCATGTGATACAGGCTTAAATCTTGTTTGTCAAGCTTCTATTAATAAGAATTCTACTTAATTAGGTTCTCATCGTTAAATAAAATTGATTCTTATACGAGGAAAAGAATCTCAAATTTACATCCCTTAAAAATTGCTTTTAAGAGACTAGTGCAATGAAAATAGGTACTTAGATAAAGAAGATGTTAAATAAATTTTTTAGTATTAAAATGCTAACCATCGCTGTCTCATTCTTGATATTATCGTGTTAAAACCAAGCATTTAAAGAAACAAATATATTCAGTCCGTTTTTATATTTTTCATGCACCAATTGATTTCTTTGAATTTTTGCCATTGTGATTTCATGAAAAATAATAATAGAACGTAAAACTTTTGATCTAAGTCTTGTGTAGTATCCACCAAAATTCAGTAAAATTGTATCTTACGTTGTGAATGAAAATCCTCTTAATAAACATTTATCAGAAAAAATAAATAAATGCAAAATGGCCCAAATTTATGCAATAAATTAATATCGATTTATATATATATATTAGTATATAAACGAATCTTAGATGGGATAATTATTATAAAAATACGTCAAAGTACTTAAGTGAGAATAACTTGTAAAAAAGAGATAATATCCCATTATTATTAATACAAATAAATTCATATTGTATTTTTTATTAATTTTAATTAAATATAATGTCAGTTTAAAATTTCAATTACATAATTCTATGTATTAATTGCTTTTAAAAAACCCCATCTTCAATCATTTTTAGTTTACTAACATGAATTATTAGATTAAAAAAATACGGACATACTTCAAGTTCAGACCATGTTTTCTTGATACGTGTCTTTTTCTTAATTTTAAACAGTATTACTTTAATTTTTGCAAAGAAATATACAGAAACTTTTACTCATTAGAAAACTATTATTCATTATACTCTAACAAAAGTTATGAGTGTCAAAAAAAATTTCGTGCTATCTCAAGAAACTGAGAAAAATGTAAATAATCTAAGATATAAAAAAAAATCTTTATAAATATTTATACGAAAAAAAGGAAATATGATAATTTTATTCAAAATTTGAAACAAATTTATTTATAAATAAAATTCTTTTACATTTGACACTTTAAAATTTATTTACAATTATACATATAATAATTTAAGTTTTATTACAAGTTTTTTCTTATTGGTTAAAAAAAAATTGCTGGGCCAGGAGTCCAGAACCTTCACCGTGTTCCAGACGCGGTTGCTATGCTTCTCCACTCCACCCTCTCTAGTAACACTCCCTCACTTTCCTTGCAATTCTAATTTTCAAAGACCAAACACACATAGAGAGAGAGAGAGAGTCGAAGCTCAATTCCTTACAAAAGTTCACCCTTCTCACTCAGCCCCAAATCCTATCGCAACTTCAATTTTCTTCTTCCTCTCTCTCTTCTCTCTTCCTCACATACTCATCCGAGCTTCGTCGCTCGTTCCTCTCTCGAATCGATCTATTTTCCTTTTAGGGTTTCACCGCGCCGATGTCTGTTTACCTCGAAATTGGAGTGTCTTCATCCATCGTCGGCCACCGCTCCTGCTTCACTAACCGTGCAAGGCTTCGCTGTTCCTCGAGGATCCGCTTTCGCCACTGGACTTGACACATCTCTAGCACTTAGGGTTTTCTTTTCTTTTCCTTCCTTCCACACGTCGTTCCTGAAATACTAGTAATCGTTGTTCGCGCACGAGGTTTCCATTCAAATTTTAAAAGTAAACTACAATAATAAAAAAAAACAAAAACGAAAGTGTTGTGTGGTGTTTTATTTTCGATTCGATGGCTGTATCGAGATTGAAACCGGGGTTTCGGTTCCACCCCTCGGGTGTCGAGTTGGTTGTGTACTTTCTGAAAAGGAAAGTGATGGGGAAAAAGTTCTTTGGTGGTGCCATTGCTGAACTTGACATTTACAGATATGCTCCATGGGATCTCCCAGGTACATACCCCAATTTAGCTTAGTTGTGTCATCATCAATTAGATTTTTTTTTCCTAAACAGTTAAGGGTAAAAGAAAATGAAATGAATAAACTCAAATCAAATTTCGCACTTCGGTAATTTGGAGAAAATAGAGACTCTATGAAAGCTAAGTGGATAAGTTGATTCTAGCTTTTATAGAACAAGCTTAATTAATTTCGATTTTTTTTAATTGGTAAATGATTATGGAGGAGCTTATTCAATCCGGACTATTGACTGTGTCGTTTTGTTTGCTTGGGGTTAATTTTTTGTGGATTGTTTTTCAGCTAAGTCTTGTCTAAGAACTGGGGAATTGGAATGGTACTTCTTCTGCCCACTGGAGAAGAAATATGGCAGTGGGAGTAGGATCAAGCGCGCTACTGAAATTGGGTACTGGAAAGCTACTGGGAGGGATAGACCTGTTCAGTACAATAATAAAACGGTGGGGATGATTAGAACACTGATATTTCACAAGGGTAAATCGCCTAAAGGTGAACGAACTAATTGGGTTATGCATGAGCATAGGCTTGAAGATAAGGACCTTGCTGACAAAGGAATTGCACAGGTATCCTTTTACAGCTTGATTATTATGTACTGTTAAAATGTTTTTATAAAAGAGCTCTATTACAGTTTATTGTTAACTGTTTGATATATGGAAGTTTATAGAAGTTGTGCCTTTGATTGTGATCGAACGTAACATAAGGATGTATGGTATCATTCTTGCTACTGTTGGTATCTTTGAATGCTCTAATTTAGGGTGGCTGGCTGCCACCGACTGTGTTGCTGTTGCATTCATTGTTTTGCCTTGTACCTGTTGAGAGATTTGTTGTCTATTTCTATATAACTTAGTTTGGTGCCCTTCACACATTCTTAAACTTAGTTGCTGATTTTGAGATCGTGTTATCCTTCTGAATGTATTTTAATTTGTTCTCCCTGGTGTATTTTTGTGATAGAATTCTTATGTAGTCTGCAAGGTATTTGAAAAGGAAGGTCTTGGTCCCAGGAATGGGGCGCAATATGCAAGGCCATTTAATGAGGAAGAGTGGAGCGATGAAGAACTGGAAATCCCTTGTACTGCTTCAACTGCACCAGTTCCCATCTTGCCTATGACATCCGATGCTTCTGTCCCAAAGGACAATTCCGTCCCTGCTAGTGGATGTACATCATGTCTATCAAGATCAATGCCTTTACCTGGAACCGCGGATCCTTCTGATCCAAATGATCAAGTTGTTAACAATGATGATGAAGATATTTTACGGATGAATGATATTTCTGAAGATGGTGACAGATTGTTTGAGGTTTGGTATTTATTTCTTGTTTGTGTTCTTTTGGGAAATGCTGGAAGCCTATAATGTTTCTTTTGCCGTGTGATGTTTCAGCACTTCCTATTTTCTGTAGTGTTTATAACCGTATCTATCCCCTTGTATTGCCTCCATAATTCCTTTTCACTTTATCAATTGATTGTGGTATATGGGCTTATGCTAGATATCTGTGGAAAGTGAATATATTCTTGTTACCCTGGATATGTTGTATTAGACATACACTCTGGGTTGCTTTCTGTGCACACACCATTCTTTTTAGTATTATAATCTGTTTTTTACTCTTATCAGAAGTTATATTTTAAAGGATTTAAGGCCCATATGCTAAATACCGTAGCTGTCTATCTAGTTGTTCTGCTTTTTGAGCCAAGTGTCATCAAAGAATCTTGTGGGCTTCTCCCCCTGCTCCTCTTAATTGTTTTAAAATGCCTTCTTCAATCTCCTGGTATCTGTGGTTAGTTCATGAAAGAAAGTCAGTTAAATGAAAATAGTTTTTAGCTTTTAAAGAAGTCAAATTGAGGTTTTTTGAAAATAGAGTGCATCGGTTCATTTTAGTTTATGCGAGAATTTTAATTTATTTTCTTATCTTTGAAGTAGTAGTTATGGAGAAGTTTCTCAAAATGTAGCAATACTATATATGGAATTTCTTCTATGTCGGATAGCATATTGAGTAGCTTTTGCAGATTTTTTTGTGTGGAATCATGATAACAATGAGATTTGAAACTTTATCCTTCCACTAGCCTAATTCAGTGTTTGTGATAGGATTTTTGGTGACAAGAAACCCAGATTACCCGCTGGTTTGAACCACACGGCAAAAACACACACTCAACACACGTAAACTGCAAATGATTCTTTATTGTTGGAAAACACTCAACACAAGAACAACCAAGGAAGCAATTCTTTCTCCCTCTACTCTTATTACAGACAAAACTCCCTCTACTCTTATTACAGACAAAACTCCCTCTACTCTTATTACAGACAAAACGTCTCCCCAAAAGACACTTATTTACCCATATATACTGGGTACAAAAACAACTAACAACAAACCAAACAAACTAACACCCTCCCAACTGACCAACACCCTTTCTCTACCCTCTAACCGTTTATGTCGTGTTTTTTGTCCCTTTTTTCCTAACATAGACCCTTAGGACCCTATCAGTTTGTTTATCTGAATTTTAAGCCTATCTATGCACTTTGTCTTGTAATATGCTTGTGTGTACTCATTTCTTGATGCTGATTTTTTTTTCTTGTGGGATAACAGAAACCTGATAATGATCAAGAAAACATTGCTGGGGGTGTACCACCTTTAGCCGAATTATTCGTGGGCTTGGATGCCTACTTGGATGCTTATCTTGCTGGTATATCCTCTGGCCAGAATGCTGAATTTAGCACAAACGGAATGGTTACTACAGATGATGTCTGGAGCTTGGACTTCATAGAGTTATCTGATCTAGACATCTCATTGGTCTAGCCAAATACACAACCTTGAGGTTAATATACGCAATAAAGGGGTTGTTTTGGCGATGACTTATAACTGACCTTTGGCAACTAGCCAGATGGCTATTTAAACAATTGTTTTAGATTTAAATATCTTCTTGGTTTCCTATGTATGGACTAAGTTTGAGTTTGATCTTTCAAATTTTAAAGTAATTTTTTCGTCCTCTAATTTGAAGATAGTCTGTTTTTGGTCCTTTATCATCAACTATACCATCATAGATTGGGGACCAAAAGTATTCTATTTATAAATTAGTAGAAAAAGAAATCAATTTCAAGTTTGATTGATCAAATGCGAACATGATCCCAATTTAAGGGTATCAGATATTTTTAAATAAGGCTATTCTGTGGTTTGAACTTTGACACTCAAGTCCTGAGTGATTGTTTGTATTTGTGTATATTTCATTTTATAATTTCTTTCTCATGATTGAAATTGTTTATTTCAGTGTTCATTTCTGAAATTTGTTATCGTGATATATTCGAGATAGACACTAAATTCCGATGGTCTTGCTATCTGCCCTTGGTTAAGGATCGTCTGAAGGATCCCTTGGTTAGATATGCGGATGCGAACTAATGCCCAAGTCGATCAGATGAAAAACTGTTGGGAATTTGTTATTAAATAATCCGAAATAGCTATTATGATCGTGTTTGGAAAGATTTCAAGGATTTTGCCGCCAAGAAGTTCTTTTTCTAGCTCCAGATTGCTCCTTCTTAAAGGTAAAATGCGACATTCGCCCTCTCCATCCCCATTTCTCATAACTAGTCTCAGCAAATGGTTAGGTACATATGTTATAAAATAGCTAAGTTATGAAAAACAATAACTAGCCACAGTCCTTGATTCAATGAAGGTTGAGATTCTCGGCAATCGCGGTTTCGGAGGAAGATAGATTTCCAATTCTGTCCGCAAAATCTATCCTTATTCCATTTACACCCAACTGGACTCAATCACGTCGAAAAACATGGGAAGCGATCCTAGGAGATAGATAGAGTAGAAGCCTTCAGGTTTTAATTCACCGTAGTCAACAAATAATAAAGGGGAAAACATCTAGAAAACCTGATGCCAGTCAGTTGCGAGGATGATGATCCTATTTAACTACGTTATTCAGTTCAAATAAATTAGAATATCTCACTTAATTCCAACTCTACACACTATAAAAGACAAATCACGATACCATCTATCTTGATTCAACAGCCTCAGAACTTCTTAAGAAAGATCTACGCCACCAAATTTGGAATGCCTTGCCCATATTTGGGCACTCAGTGCCATGTCTTGAAAAATGCCGAAACCATTCCATAAACAGCACATACTGCTGCTTTAAAGGTAAAGTAAGTAGTGTCTGCCCCATAGCCTCTTCCAAGGCCTTCATATCAAGCCCTTTTTTGCATCTTTGAAGCCAACCAAAGTCCAACAGCATAGGTCCAAACCATGCTTGGAGAAGCCCTGATCTAGCCTCCAAAGGGCATTGCAGTTTTCTCGTACCCATAGCAACAAATAGGATTGCCGAGACTCTACTGAGCTCATATCTTATCATAGGGGAGGTAACGTCATGCATTTTAAGAAGCTTTTCCTGACGTGCCCATACATCCACAAAGTCCTCTGCCACTTGCCCATCCAGCATAATTTCAAGCAACCAGTTAATGTTATCAACCTGTCTTGAGATTCGTTCAATCAGAGGCTTGCTCGTGTCTTTTGTAATCAACCTTTCAGGACGCATGGTATCTGATGCCTCTTCAAAGAGACTGATAAGTGAACTCAAACACGAGTCACAAACAGTAAATAGATCCTCCTTGCTAAGGTCAAGATGGTTCTTCTCATACACAGAACTTTTGCAGAGAAGACCCTTGACTAGTGACTTCATTTCAGTTCTGGCATTTGCATCCTCAGAAGTGGTGATAGACCGAACAAGTTGTTGTGCAACGTTTGGCCGGAAATCTATTGAGTCGTGCAAGTACAGTCTTCCCAAAATGTCTCTTGTTGTTGCATCATCGAACTCAAATCTTGTGAAAAGGCTCCTCAGTTTCTCTTCTTCCTCCTCAGTCCAAGGAACCGCCTCAAGGTACTTTAAACAACACCGAACGCCCTTAGTGAACATAATTCCTGCCGAAACCTAGTAATATATTTCAGTCAACCTCAGCCAAAGATTAAGTGCTAGTTTCTATGCACGTTAAATCATCCCAAATAATATTCACAACCATTCATATATTTGATTCCATACAATGAAACTGATTCTAGACTTCAAATTCATTTTGTAATGAAAAGAATATTAGATAGCTTTTGCACTAAAATGTTTATACTAAGTTTTATGGTTAACATGCATTTAGACTAAAAACTTCAAACATTTAACATGGAAAACTTTATTGCCAGTTTTTTCGAGAAACAGGACGATTCTTTAATTCTACTCCAACTTGATAAGATTCAGGTGTTGGTAAAATTTCTTCTCCAACCAATTATATTCTCAAATCTTGAAGTCGAGAACAATGATAAAACTAAAACAACCCCTCTATCCACTCTTTACAGGTTTTGTCATACATACGTTGGTCGATAGTTCCAAATATTTTTCCTGTTATAAAAGATTTCTACTTAACTTCATGCCACTCTATGAATCAACGGCCGCGACAAAATGAGCAATTTTGTCAAACGAAAAACTTCCGAATGTAAGTAAAATGAACAGAGATCAAAAGGTGAAGAAATAGGAACCTCTAAAATGTCAATGGAGCGAAAAACGCCAACGTTGATGAGCTTCTTGGTGATGCAATCATCATCTTCAAACATAAGCTCGATGGTGTCACTGAACACACCCAAGTTCTCCACCTCCATCGTCGCTCCACCCCCACCTCTCTTGCAATCCGCTATCAAACCCGCAAACACCTCCGAGTTCGCTTCAAGAACCTCTGAGTCCACCTCCATCACCATGCTCCCCCCGTTCTTCCCTCGCAGCTTTAGCTTCACGTCCAGCGCCGCGGCATCCGCCACCGGCGGCGGGGAGGGAGCTCGAAAGCTAGGGGATCGGAGTTGCGACACGGAGGGTGTGGGATCCGAGTCAATGGGAGAGACTCTTCCCGGCGACAAGATCCGGCGCGGGTCGATCCGACCCACGATGGGGAACCCAGATTTGGCGCTCTGAGGAGAGTTAGGGACCGAAACGCTGCTTTTGGGAAAGGGTTGCGCTTTGTGAGGCGATTTGGAGATTGAAGTGAGTTCGGGACTAGAGGGAGGGATTGCGAACGAGCAGCACCACGCTCGCCGGCGAGGCTTCCGGCGTGACCACCCTTTCATTGGGCAAGTCACCGGTTAGAGAGAGAGAGAGAGTAAGAGTAAGAGAGAGGATGAAGTTGTATTGTGTTTCTTCTCGACAATGGCGATGCTTTATTATTGGACTGTTATTTTAGTTTGTGTTTGGGTGAAGAAAACGAGGATAACTTGTTTCTCTTTTTCGACTTGACCTTTGCATTAATACAAGTTTTGGGTTTTAAGTTTTTCCTTGTTTGTGTTGTGGCATTTTTCATTTTCTTATTACCTCACATGTCCTCTTCTGCTCTATACGTACACTCTACCGTTGCACTATTACAGAATCTTTTTTCCTAATTTTTTGCTATGACTACCTTTTTTTGCCATCACATATTAGTAAGAAACAGAATAATGGGTAATTTCGTTGAGGTTGGTTTTTACGGTCTGTAAAGTTGGTTAAGAGAAGGTGTTTAAGGATTATATTGTGGATTAAGATGTGATAATTGGTTGTGGAAAGGTAGTTGGGAAGATTAAGAGGAAAAAAAGGAAGTGGGGCCTATTATGATTGCTTTTGCATTTGCATTTGCATTTGAGTGATAACAAAGTGACAAGAGAATAAGTGATGATGAAAATAGCATCATTTTGGGAAAATGTTAAAAGGGTTTGTGAGTGGCAGATGGCAAGGCATCCAACAGCATAAAGCCATAGACAAGCAGCACCAACCATGGAACCTGCCAAATTCCCATTTGTATTAGTCAACAACCAAATAAGAAGGAAACTAATCATTTCATCCTCAAATTTTCAATATAATCATTTGGGTTTTTCTCTGGGTAATTACCATTATTATAATGTTGAATTTTGTCACAATTTTAGTTTTCATTTTTCTCACATTTTTTATTTTAACCAATTCTTTTGTTCGGCTAAAAATAATATATATATATATATATATATATATATATATGAAACATTTTATTTTTACCATTACATTCAAAAAATCTATTTTAGTATCTATAAAAAACACTTATAGATTTGTGGTTTATTTAAGTTATCAATTACTTTTAAGGATTAAAAGGGAGATAAGATAGAAATAAAGTTAATTTCAAGAATAAAATAATAAAATATGTTAAATATAAAAAAATAGACATTAATTGATTGGAATAAAATAAGAAATAATGCTAAATATAAAAACAAATTAGACATTAATTGATTGGTTGTCGTGTATAAATTAGTCTTACATAAAGTCATTAAGACTGTATTTACATTAAAAAATTTTCGGAGTGAGTGAGTGGATCGATTTGAGAAGATTTAAAGTGAATTAATGATTGGTTATTTAAGTGGATTTTGAGGATTTGAGAAGATTTAAGGGTGAATTAATGATTGTTTATTTAAGTGAATTTTGAGATAAGTGAGAGTGAATTTGAAAGTAAAGTTTTTGAGAATTAGTGTAGAATTGGATTAATGTAACAGATAAAAAAATTGTTTAATTGGTAGAAATTGAAAATTATAAATTATTTAATAATGTTATATTTAATTGTAAAAATATTTATAAAGAGAAAAAAAATTAAAATTAATTTTTAAAATGTAAAAAAAATGTTATTTAAAGGATACAAAGGGATATAAAATATATACACTAGCAAATCTCTCTATATATTGGAATAAATTTATCCTAATAAAATATTTAATAAATATTTACATTTTTTAATGACACGAAAAAATCAATTCAAATAATATGTAATAGTAAAATAGTGGTTGTAGTAATTCAAACTTCATATTAAATTTAAATTGAAGAAAACTAAACTATGATTATTTGAGTGTTTGAAGAAATAAATCTGCTGGTTAACGCTTCATTTGCAGTGTCATTCGATTCTCACATAAACCAGACATGTCTAAGTTTGAATCGGAAGTTGCAGAAGGTAAGAGATACATGTGGGATATGCTCTCCAAACCAAGAAAGTGGAAAGTTTTCTTCAATCCTCCCTCCTCGATTACGCGGAACAACACACCATCAATCTCGTCCAAATCGACCCCTCTTCACCCTTAGAACAACAAGGTCCCTTCCACTGCATCATCCACAATTGAACAAACACCTCCAACAATTCTAAGCCACACATCCAGGCACCGCAATCATTGACCCCCCCGAGTTGGTGAGTCGCCTCCACGACCGAGTTTCAATGCTTGAAGCAGTCGCCCACTTGCAAATTTTCCTCCAAAATGCCACTGTTGGGGTTGCCAACCAAGTGATCGTGGACGAACCAAAAGCCCTCGGTTTTGACAAAATCAAACAACTGGGGCTGCGATTCCCTTGGGATGGACCTCTGTATGTCGTCCATCTTCGTCACGCCTCACAGTGCGCACCACCAAGTTTCGAAACACATCAGCGTATAGTGGGAATCGAATACAACAACAAACCATGATGAAGAAGGGAGCGAAACCGAATACATAACAACGAGAACCAAATACAATATAGCGTTGAATTTGTTGTATGGACCGGAACGAGTACAACAAATGTAGAACCGAATATGTGCATTATTTATTGTTAATTATGGGCTGGAATCGATTATCAAGCTTTGGAATTCAATAGTTTATTTTTTTACATAGTATTACACAAATTATGAAGGGCAAAGTTTACATTTGAAATAAATTCATTCCAAATCTTGTTAGAATAAACTTAAAGTTTAGGATTTTATTAATAATTTTGTTTTAATTTTATTTTATTTTATTAGTTTTGGATCTAGTAATATTTAGTTTGATTTAGATAAAGATAAAAGGTAGTTATGATTTTCGTTTTATCTAGGTACAATCTTATTTTATGATAGATTAAGCAGGTTTTATTTTTAAAATAATTGATATTTTATTTTCAGATTTTATTTTTATTCTCATAATATTGTAAGTGTCACAACTATTTAAAGCCCTTTAATTATCCAGCTAATTGCTTTGTCTGTACAAAATTAACATCTTCAAATTGCTCATATAAGTGGACAAGTGCAGCAACTTTAAAACATAAATGTCATATGGCTGTATGTCTTTGAAGAACATCAAGTATGATACACAGAAGAATGTGATGCTCTTATACTAAAAATTGTGTATCTAATAAGATAGAGCAAGTAGGTCCTCGCGTCATACTTCAACTAATTGCTTTGTCTCTACAAAGTTAACATCTCCAAGCTGCTCATATAAGTGGGTGATACGTTGTCTTTGAAGCTATTAAATTAATACTATTTTTTAAGACAACTTTAGTATTGTTAAGTTAGTAGTCAAGAAATTAGATAGGGTTAAAGTAACCCTGAGTCATCTCCTAACGAATACGAATTTTTTTTTCAATATTTGACTCTTATGAATGCTATGCAATGCTCAAGAATAAAAGTGAGAAACTATGCTAATGAAATTAATGTTTGTAGAATGTTTGAAGAACAAAGGGAGCTTGTGAACTTGGTGGTTGTAGGAGGAAATGCTCTTTCTTGGTGTGTTTAAGTGGTGGAGTATACCTACAAAGCATAGTCAAGATGTTCGTTCTTTTGTGCATCAAAAAGAGGTGTCTTTCATCTCTTATTGTTGAGAGAGGTGGTTTATGATCTCAATCCTTATTTCTATATTGTAATATGTTATTGATTTCTAGTGAAAAAGATTAATCACTATTTATAGTGATTAACAACTAGACGTAGAATCTGTTGATTCAAACTAGGATAAATTTTTTTGTGTGATTTTCTTTAATTAGCTCTACAGCTCTTGCGTATAAACTGTTTGATAAAAGTTGTAAAAGAAAATCATAATTTTTAAAAGAATCAATTCACCCATCATTTCTTAGTTATTGACCATTTGTCTAAAACATTCCACTATGCGATACCAATATCAATACCAATCTCCTAGCCTTAGCTTAAGTTGATGTTTCCTTCATGAATCTCCATTTAATTCCCAAAACGGATACCATCATGCTTGAAGGTTAAAGGTGACGTGTGAGAAAAGTTGTGGTGGTGAAGGATGTGGTGTAAGGGATAAGGGAAAGAAAGAAGAACTATTTGTATGAGAGGTGTGGCGTTAGGGTTAAAAGAAAGTGTGAGTGAATGAAAGTGAGTAAGTGGAATTAGGGATGACAACGGGTCGAATCGACACGGATAGTACCTATCCGCAACCCGACTCAAAAATGAAAATTCTACCCGCAACCCGACCTGGTATTCGCACGAATATCTATTTCTAAAATATCCGCATATATTTTAAAACCACCATCGTATATACCTGCAAATATTAAAAAAATATTTTATACACTTTTAAAATAAAATTAAAATATAATTACAGAAAAATATAAAAAATTGAATATAAATGAAATAAATATAAACTAAAATTTAATTTTAATTAAATTTAATCTAAAAAATATAAATTAATTTTATTTTAAATTTAATTTAATTAAATAAAATATAAATTAAATTATTATTTTTATCTTTTTCGAGTAACAGGTATTCACATATCGGATAGTATACCCAACCCGTTAAGTATTAAAATATTCGTTATCCACAACTCACATATAGTAAATATTTTTAGATATCAACTATCCATTACAGAGTTTATCTGCAAATATTCGCGAACGTGGATTTCTTTGCTGAAGTTAATATAACGAGAGAGAAACTTCTTTTTGCCATCCTAGACGGAGTTAATATAGTGAGAGAGAAACGTTTTTTTATTCTAGTAAAATGGTTAGTTCAGGAATTTAGAAAAATTTTGAGATGCAAAAAAAGATATTGGAGGTGCAGGAAGAATTTCCTTTTTGTATCCTTGCTGGGCTCATGACTCGGGCCTTGATCCAATTTGGATCCTGTTATATTAAAGCCTTTTTACATAATTTACATTTTGAATAAAGTAGCGCAAACCTTTGATAAGGCGAAAAGTTGGTAAGAGAAAATGGTGGAAAAGAAAAAGAAGAAAGAGAAGGAAGGAGAAATTTTGAGAGGGACAGGAAAGCGAGTGACAGAATAATTGACCCAAAGAGAATAGAATATTATTATTAATGAATCCAGCAAAGGAAGTCCAGGGAGTCACGTGCATACAGCATCGTAGGCCTGAATTTGGGCCCAACAAATCTTACGTCTCCATCGACGACGATTCACAGCATCGCATGCGTACACGTTTATCACCCTTGGTCAAGCGACGTGGCCCAAGCACAAGGCCGTAACCGTCCACCGATTCTTCCAGTGTCGACCCTCATCAAACACGTAACTGCACAAACAAAAAATATCAAACATATTCTCACGCTATTTTCTTCTGCTTTCCACTTTTAGAATCCATACAAAACACGTTCGCATGACCTAGGTGTTTCCATTTTCTCTATTCGTACAACGTCATTTCGGAGTGCCATCTGTATCATCACCCACGAATCCACCCTGCCACGTGCACCCCACCTTCTCCCCTGCCACGTTGTTGCGTAACGTCACAGTAGACCGCCATCAATGCCTCTCTTCCTCCACTATATAATACACCCACCTCAACGTCCTTAGTTGTTTCCATACTAACACCTACACCACCGTTAAGAAAGTAACAAGCTTTTCTCATTTAACGATCGGGTTTGCATTTGGGTATCATTACCATAATATATCAGAGAAAAAGAAGAAGAAAATGGAGGCCCCCATATTACCCCTTGGAAGGACTTCGTCAATCGAAAGGGAGCCCAGAACTCTCAATATCCACCAAATTCAATCGGCCAGGGTAAGTCATCGTTCGTTTCTTTTATTTTGTTCTTCTATCACGTCATCAACATGGGATTTAATATTGTGGTGGATTTCAACAGGAATTGGCAGCATATATATTGAACACGAAGACCATAGAAGAAGCTTCCAGAATTTTCACGGAGGTAAATATATCCATTCTGCTCCTTTATCTATTTTCTACACCTGTTGAAAACATGTTTAGTAATATGTTTTAAAGACATGCATGCATGACACCTTGGGATCTTGTTTCCGTGTGTGAATTTTTCTTTTAATGGTATTATGCTTGCATGAACATTTACGGCTCTTGGCATGCAATGAAACGTCCGTGCGTTAGTGTATAGTTTTTGTAAGGCAATTGCAAGTTGAAGGGATTGGGGAAAAACACTAGCTAAAGTAGACAAATCACATTAAAAATAAAAAATTACAGGAAATATTACTAATTAATGCTATATATATACAGTTTTATTGTGACTCTTATGCATTTAATACTTTCATTTTTATAAATAATTTTAAAATTTACAAAATTGGTTGGAGTTACTTGTACAAAACTACTAGCTATTGTCTTTAAACTTTCAGTTAAGAGCTTAAACAAAAATGTATTGCGTATTAGTGATGATAATCGTTTGTCGACCCACAACCCTCTTTTAGATCAAAGGTGGTGTCCAACTAGGTTTAACTCGTGTTTCATTTTTACTGAATCTCCATAAATTTTTCCTCATCATCTTCTGAAAAATTAAAATTTGCATTACTGAGATGATAAGTTCTTATGTAAGATAAACTTCTCTGCAATACATAATTGTTAAGAATTTTAGTTAAATACTGTCAGGGGTTGCAACCAGTGGTGAGTGGCGCCTGCTGCTTAGGATCCGGCACAACAATGGACATAGACATAGATTTGGGTGAAGAACTGGAACTGATGAATTCCAAAGACGCAACAACACAAGTAGCCCCAGAAGCAGCATTCAGGGACATAGCATCAGCACCTTTCTAGAACAATAATTCAACATGTGTTGCATATTAATATTTTTGTGCAATAATTGTAGAATATTGTACATATCCTGAGTTGAAGTTTTGGGTTCCCAACAATTTCATTTGATTCCTTATTCCTTTCCATTGGATGCTTTTCCAATTTGTTGGGTTGTTTAACAACCACATTTTGGTTGTTTAAGTACACGATAAGGCGTTGTAAAATAATTGGAACTCGATTATATATATTCAAAATCATGGGCGGTTGTTCAGGTGGAGCAATTCAGTTTGTTGTCTCTTCATCAACTTGATTAGTTAACTTTCAAAAACCAAAAGCTATATCATATAATATTGTAATGCAATTCGGTATCGTTAGCGGAGAACCTCGTACTGTGTCCGACAAAGATTGGAAGGAAGTAAGACAGATTAATTAATTAACAATAATTGAGATGATATATATAGAATAAGGGCTCCTGCACAACACACCGTTGGTAAGAGATCCACTTGAAAATAGTAATAAAAAAGGTATTTTAGCCTACCTTTACCTAATTATGTCTTTTTCGACATAAATACAGCAAATAGAAGTACAAATAAGTGGATAAAAAAAAATTTACGATAATTTTGAGTAAAATGATAATCATCTATGTTAAAATATTTTCTTAATTTATACATCATTCACATTAATTATATATCATAGACAAACTTTCATCTAAATTTTTTTTCAAACATACACAAACATTCATCTAAATTTTTTTCAAACCACATTATTTTTTCTTTAATTTAAACAATTTGCAAATAACACGTGGTTTGTTGTCTTGTGAAAAATAGGCTGCTTTTTCAACAAGATTACTTGTTTTGTTTAGTGGAAAATAGGATGATGCGAGGATTTTCTTCCAGCAATCCCATAATTTCTTCTCCTACGTCAAATACAAGAAATTACAATGCGACTTTGTCATCTTATAAGCCATTTAAAATTATATTCTGGAATACATAATACTTTTTAAGATTACACAATTCATAACTATACAAATTTAAATTATATCTTGAATTATATAATTATATTATTCGAATTTTTTTTACAGATTGTCAGATTACGTAATACTATTTTAAATTAGGAAATCATATTTCAAATTATTTAACCTAAACGTTTATTCGATTTTTTTTTAATAAAAACATATTGACATGTTATGGGAGTGAGAAAAGAAAGTATGGCGTGATGGAAGAAAAACCAAGTATTTCGGGTATAACATTGTGCCAATGGACAAATCTTGAAGACTGAGCGGACTTTGATGACCGGACGGACCTAAGCTTTCCATGCTGCATTCGAAGGCCGGATGGCTAGTGAAGATCACGAACTGAAGGAAGATCGGACGTTGCTCCAAGCTCTTCAAACTGTGGAAGACCGAACAAGTTCTCTCCTCTCCTCATTCTCCTCCAGTTGTAGTATTTGTTCTCCCTCCTCATTTTCCGAGCCGGACGGGCGGACACCTGTCAAAGGCACTCTGACGCTCAAGTCAGTAAAATGACCGAGTAGTTATTACCGCAAGTAAAGCATGTGTTATGCAACCTGGCGAGAAATCATACCTAAGACCTTTATTTATAACAGTTGTAATGGACTTTTACCTTTTGTGGACCTGATGATGGTCCAATCATACCTTAATCTTCATTAGGGGCTTTAATGAGCGATTACTGTTTATAAGCTAACCATGTGGCCGACCTAGTGGTTGGTCGGCCAGGATGGTCGGTCAGGGTTGTAGGCCTGATGGTCGGCCTAAGAAGAATCGTTCGGCTTGGGATAAGCCATTCAGTCTGGATGGTCGGTCAACCTTAGGAGACCATTCGGTCTGGATGCTCGGTCATCCTCTGGAGACTGTTCGGTCTGGATGCTCGGTCATCTTCTGGAGGCCGTTCGGTCGAAAGTGGTTGGTCGTCCCCGAGAGACCGTACGGTACACCAAGTGTTTGTTTTTATAGTTTTTTATATCCTTGAAATCAAAGTTAGACCCCGCATATTTATTTTAAAAAAATAAATTACTTCGAAAAAGAAGGAGACTATTGAAGAGATCTAAGTAACATATTTTACACTCCCAATATTTCTGGAAAAGAAATTATACAAAAACATAGAATGAGATTGTAAGACGAAAAAGAGCAAAAAAAACATTACGATTTTTGCCATTTACATTACTCATCTAGAAATTTTAGCATATATATTGCTTCCAACTCATGGGATAGTGGCTCGACAACGAGCGTAAACCTAATTCAACTCTACAAAACTGGATTGTAAGATAAGATTTACACCCCATTTATATATTATAAATTGACTTTATTTTTAGTTAACGTGGGACTTTCAACAATCCTCTCGTTGATATAACCATCACTTCTCGCGTAAGCGCATGTTCATCCCAAATCTTCCATTTCCAAATACCCTTTTCAATTTTAAGCGTAATCAAACTTTTCTAAAGTGGTTATAGTGTTTCTTTCTAAGAACATACTTATGGTTAATGTAAAATAACATTTTTTGGATAGTTTTTTTATTATAATTAGAAAAGGATCCCAAAGTTGTTTGGTTATGTATCAAAAAAACAAATATTCTGATTGTTCCTCTGATTGGGATTGTTAGGTGGCCTGTTTTTATTTTTTAGGTATTTATAGTTGACAATGGCTTCCTTCACCCCCATCATTTTTCTTCCTGTTGCCGCCCATCAAACATGCCAAATACCAGTTCTCTTCTTCTACTTTAATCCTAACGATCTCCTCTTAACATTTCCGCACTTCACCGGCGAATACAAGTACGTACGTTCTTCCTGAATGGGTTTAGGGCAAATGCAGCGGTGGGGTGGCTAGAGTACTTGAACTGGTGGGAGACATATCCCGAAAGAGAAATCTGTGAGGGTGTTCTGGAAAAATCTTTCCAAAAAATTAACAGAATTTGTTTTCCGAATGCTTACCGGAAAGTTTTTTTTGGAATACCTTCCCGGATTTCTCTTTCCGGAGACGTTTTCCAGATTTCTTTTTTGTGGGGGAGTTTTCGGTTGCTATTTTTTTTTGTCATGTGTATGGATTGTGTACTATTAATTTTGTTCATGAATATCGATTTTTGTACTGTATTCATTGTTGTATAACGTTATTTTTGTTGGTGTATATTGAGATAAAGATGGCAAACACTAGACGAGGGTTTCAAAGTGATTGTGCGACCAACTACGTCAGTTAGACGAAGAGGACGGAGTGGTGCGATTAATGTTAAAGTTCAAACAATATAAAAGAAATTTATCCATAAAGTAAAAGTTTATTTACATATATTTAACATCTTGATCATATCATTGATTTCATCATCCTTGTACCAACCCCACCTCAATTTATGCACTGCAATACAAATTGTTATACATTTCAGTCATATACAAAAACAAAACTGAAATTGAAGAACAAAATATAAACATAAAACAAAATGGTCTCAAAATTATGTGCTATTTCTTGTTTCGTTAATAATAATAATAATAATAATAATAATAATAATAATAATAATAATAATAATAATAATAATAACAACATCTTATAACTCATTAAATATAAATATAAATGTAATACTAATTGAAATAGTATAGACAATTGAACAAAATAATTTATAAAGAGAATATTAAAACAAATAACCCAATGACTGAATCTACTATAACAACAGATTGAAGAAATATATTTTATAGTTTGGAGTCATCTATGTAATTTTTCATAAACTTTTATTTCACAAAATTAGGTTTAAATAAAATAAAAAATAGTTTGACCGCATCACATAAACTATCCGTCCACATGTTTTAATCCAAACCGTACAGGTAGCAGATGGCATGTAATCTACAGTAGGGTTGATGAATTGGTGACGAGAAGAGGAAAACGGACTTCCATTCAAATTCCATTCTCTTTCCTTCTATTCTTTCAGTCCCTCTCGTCACTTTTTCTTCTTTTCTCTTACCCTTAACAACCGGAAACTATGTTCTTCCAGACATTCTCACTCCCGCATTATCCTATCATATATATACTTCTAGATCATTCTTTCGCTCATTTTTTTCTTTCTTTCGATCTTGACCTTAATTTCTGCTTCTCTCACTTCTCAATTCCTTCTATTCACAATGCTCATTGATGCCACACCCTACACCACCGTCATCTGAGATCCAAGATTTCGATTCTTTAATCTCCGGCATTACGGAACAGGTAATGTTGAATTACATCTCACCGTTATTACTGGTTATATACAAAAGAAAATCTTAATGTGTAGATTAAAACATATTGTACATTAAATGGTATTAAATATGTTAATTAATGTTTTAACAATGAATGAGAGGTGAAATGTGTGTGTAGACAGGCGGTGGAGAGAAACAATGGCGAGTTCGGATTATACACTGAATCGGCGTCCATCAAGAAGCGCCGCAACCACGACATTTTCTTCTGAGGTATTCGACAACGAAGTTGTGCCCTCATCACTCGCCTCCATCTCGCCAATTCTCAGAGTCGCCAATGAGATAGAGAGCGAGCGTCCTAGGGTTGCTTATCTCTGTATGAATGAATAATCAACCATAGCTTTGTGATTATTATTCTTATCAGCATAATTAATTGTTGCAAAATTAAACCATATATATATAAATATGTGCAGGTCGGTTCTATGCTTTTGAGAAAGCGCATAGGCTGGACCAGAGTTCCAGCGGGCGTGGTGTTAGGCAGTTTAAGACCTTGTTGTTACAACGATTGGAGAGGGTAAGTTCTCATGCAGGAATAAATGCAATGTTACTTAATACTACTTCTGGTTATAAATTATCAGTAGAGTGTTCAGATATCTTTTTAGTATATATAGTTTTGCAAATATTACCATAATTTGCTATATTATACAATTACATTACATTATTTTATAGATTTCTGAGAAGTTAAAATATAAATATACATCGAAGTGTATGAGAGAGAGTTTATAAGATCTACAAAAGACTAACTAAATTTCTCACGACATAGTTCACTATATAATTTTACAAATCAGAATCATAATTGTTATATTACATTATGCTATTTTATTATATTACATTGTATATTATTTTTTGGAAAAATTTACAAAATAAATATGTAATAAAGTGTAAATATTTTATCATCTAATAAATAAAAACAATATATATA